AGCCCTTTGATTGAATGCAAACTTCACAGAACAAATTCCCTCAATAAAAGGATTTGTTCTGTAAAACTTGGACTCAGTCAAGAGGCCACACCTGAGGACCTAGAAGGCCACATGTGACCTCCAGGCCGCAGGTTCCCCACCCCTGCTCCAGATTGATGTTATAAAAGGCAGAGAGCTGAAGGGTGAGAAGTGGAAGGAAGGACAGAGGTGGAAGCCGCGGGAGGTTCAGGGGATGCTTCTGTAGGGGGGAAGCTTTGGGGGATCCTAACAGCTGCTTTGACTCCCAGGAACCAATAGAAGACCTAGGGTTGGGTTGGGGTTTCCAGGGAAGAAATGGCATAAATTCAATTATCTAAAGTCCTGGATGAGTCCATCAGACTCATTTCATATGCTAATTCTACCGCAACTATTAACAATAATAACTAACCTATATATAGTACTAGGTGTGCTAGGTACTGTGCTAAGCGCTTTACAAACATTATCTCATTTGATCTTCACAACGACTCTCTTTTGGTGCTGTTATGATCCCTATTTTACAGATGAGGAAACTTAGGCAAACTAAGGTTAAGTGACTTGCCCAGGGTCATACAGCTAGTAAGCGTCTGAGGCTGGATTTGAATTCAGGTCTTCCTGATTCCAAGCTTGGGTACTCTATCTGCGGCACTAGGTGTCCTAACTCCTCGTCTGCCGCTCCCAATCCCAGCTGAGCTCTTGTCTGTCAACCTACGGCGGCTGAGCTAACCCCATACAAACCAGTCCTTGTGAGCTGGCCTATGGCTGTGAATGCTCAGCCCTTGAGACCTGGCCCAGCATTGGCATATGGCATCTGTGCCTCCCACTTTCCACTCCGTCCTCTTGTGAGTCTTTCCTTCTCAGCTGGGATTAAGGGATGAGAATGAAGGGCTGCCCTGGATCTTTGCCAAAGGTAGCATTTGAAAGAGGGCAGAAACCACAGGCTCACATTGCCCTTTACCTGTGAAATGACTTATTGTGCCCTAGTCCATCTCTGAAGCTGTACCGCCCAACTGTCTGCTCTCATAGCTACCGTGCTCCTTGGGACTCCAGCTCAGGAAGGCCATTTCAATCAAGTTACTTCACCTCTGGCTCTGTTTCCTCATCTGTACAAAGAAGGGAGTTGGACCGGATCAGGTTAACCCCATTAGCAGTCTGGTGGCGCAGTGGATGGAGTGCTGGGCCCAGAGTCAGAAAGACCTGAATTCAAATCAGGACACTTATTAGCTTGTCACCCTGGGCAAGTCACTTATCCCTGTTTGCCTCAATTTCCTCATCTGTAAAGTGAGCTGGAGAAGGAAATGGAAAACCACTCCAGTATCTCTGCCAAGAAAACTCCAAATGGGGTCACGAAGAGTCAGACGTGACTGAAACAATGAAACAACAACTATGAAACCTATACACTCCTTCTCTGAATGTTTTTGAATGCATAAAATGTATTTTAATATATGATTACAAAGGAAACCAATTATATTGGAATACAGTTTTTTTAAAAAGACCCCTAGGGCCAGAACCCCTAGATTAGGTGATCTTTGGTTCCCTTTGACCCAGATATTCTGTAGTTCCGTGGATTGGGTTTAGGAGTCAGAAAGCCCTGGGTTCGAACCCTACCTCTGATATATTTGTGACCATAGGCAAAAATCTCTCAGAGCCTTAGTCTTATATCTGTAAAGTGGGGATCATAGTGCCCACCTCAGACAGATGTTGTGAGGTTCAGATGAGATAATCTAACTCTTGGTTATTATTCCCATCACTGTCATCATCTCCTCTCTGTCTCTGCAGGAGCCACTTTATCATCTTCAGTGGGGGGATGCCTCGGGCCAGCTATGGGGACAGACACTGTGTGACGGTGCTGCAGGGACAGACGCTGGTCACTTTAGACTTCACCTCCAGGGTGATCGACTTCTTTACCGTGTACAACACAGAACCCAAGGATGGTAGGCGCTTTGTCCTTTTCCAGCTCTCGGGTCCTTCCACAGCCCTCCTCTTCTTGCAGCTCAACCCAGCTACCCCCTCCTTGTACCCAGCATCTTACCCCTGCCTCTCCTCCCAAACCGCAGAGTATGACAACCCCAGTGCCCTGGTGGTGCTGGTCGAAGAGGAGCTGGTGGTGATTGACCTGCAGACTCCTGGATGGCCCACAGTGCCAGCCCCGTACCTGGCCCCACTCCACTCCTCAGCCATCACCTGCTCCTACCATATTTCCAACGTCCCCCTCAAGCTCTGGGAGAGGATCCTAAGTGCTGGCAAGCGGCAGAGCCCCCAGCTCGCTTCTATGGTGGGTAAACTGGGGAAATGGGATGGGGGCAGTGGGAAGCGCCTCGCCTCTCTGGCATGCCCCAGGGGGGAGGGGGTTTGAGGGGAGGGGCTCCTGTTTGGTTTTATAACCAGAGACTTGCTGGGCTGGTGGGGGTAGAACCCTGAGGTATGGGTATTGTGGCTTTAGGTTGATCCATCTACCTTTACAGGACAGGAAGGGAAGAGGAGAGAATTTTATATGCTAACATTCCTTTCTTTTTCATGTGGCTATGGATATCTTTCTTCTCTTTTTTTCCCTTTCTTTCTCCCTTTCCCTCTCTTCTTCCTCTCTTACCTTCTCCTTCCTCTTCTCCCTTTCTCTCCTCCTCTTTTACCTTCTTTCCCTTTCTTTTCTCTCCCTCCTCCTCTCCTTTCTCTCCTCCTCTTTTACTCCTCTCTCCCTCCCTTTTTTCTCCCTCCTCCTCTCCTCTTTCTCTCCTCTTCTTTTACCCCCCTCTTCCTCCTCTCTTACCTTCTCCCTCCTCCTCTCCTCTCTTTCTCTCCTCTTTTACCCCTCTCTCCCTTTCTTTTTTCTCCCTCCTCCTCTCTCTTTCCCCCTCCTCTTTTACCCCTCTCTCCCTCTCTTTTTTTTTTCTCTCTCTTCCTCTCTTCTCTCTTTTCCTCTCTTTCTAGAACTGGCCCATCAATGGAGGAAAGAACTTAGCTCAAGAGCCTACCCAGAGAGGACTCCTCCTGACAGGGTAGGGATGCCTGCTCCCAGACTTTTACTTTTGCTGTGTGTGCTGACCTTCCCTTCCCCCTACGCCTCTCCTAGGGCCATGCCTTCCTCAGGCTCGCCACTCAGCAGGGCCTCCAGAGAAGTGGCCGTTCTCCCATCCCTCACCTCACCTCCACTTGCACTGCCAAATTGCTCCTGGGCTGGCATCTGACGGGCACCCTGAGGAAGAGGGATAAGGGTGGAAGGAGGACTGAAACTATCCAGCCAAGTTTGGCCTGTGGTGATGGGAGAGGAGCCTGAGGTGCCAGGGTCTTTAGGTGGACAAATGGAATGTACTGTGGCCTTTGGCCTCTCAAGTCATCCATTAGCAGTTTCTCCCCCCACCTCCCCTTCTTTGTTCGTGTGTGTGTGTGTGTGTGTGTGTATGTGTTTAATTTTGGCAAAAACCAAAGCCCTTTGGAGCCAAACACATCATATGCTGAATTCAGCTCAAGGCCTTCAGAGCGCACAAGCCTAACTTGTCAGTAGCAGCAGATGTTTGGGGGGAGGGAAGGCAGGGATGGGAAAATTCACGACAGGGTGCCAGCTTTGCAAACAGCAACACTGGTGCCCCAGATCCTCGCTCCTTCCCTTGCCAATTTCTTCTTCCCTCCGGCGCTCGCTTCCTCCCCCTTAAGGACCCCAGGAAATGCTTCTTGGAGAGCAGCAGCCCTGAGGGCGCATCTTTCCAAGATCCAGAACACTAGCCGTGTGGCCCTTTGGCCAGGGCTGCTGGAGCCTGGGCACTGCTGTGATTTTCCTCCTGCCTCTCCTCCGTGCGATTTGATCCGTCTCAGCCTCTGGGGCTTGGGTTGAGAGTGAGAAGCTCTGAAATTGGGCCAGGCCCCAGCCAAGATGTTGGCTGGGGGCTGGCTGCAGACTCCCTGAGGAGGAAGCCCTGAAACAATCTAGTAAGGGGGAGAGAGAGAAAAGGGAAGTTATTAAAATAGTTACAGCCTGAGAGTCTGGAAGAGACTTCCTTCTTCTCTTCCCTTCGTGGGCCCCCAGGTCTTCTGCTGAGTGTGGCTGCCAGACCCAGCCTCTGCTTGGTGTCTGGCCAGAGCCAGATGCTTCTTTACCTGCTTGACGTATAAAAGGACGGGGCATCCTGAGGGATGGAGACGCCTCCCCTCGAGGCCTTGTGCAGCCTCCCAGAGTTCCTCTGCCTCTCAGAGGCTGCATCCTACTGGCTCTTGCCCTTCTCCGGGCAGAACCCCGGGCCAGCGGGAGTCCAACCAAGGTTTCTTGAATGTGACGGTCCTGTAATTTCCAAAGGCTCAGAAGGAAATCATAAGGCAGGCCAGGTGACCTGGGTTCAGGTCTTGGCTCTGGTATCAACTAGCTTGTGTTCTTGAGCAAACCACTTCAGGAGTAAGGTCGGACTAGATCGGAGATCCTTAACCTTTTTTAAGAAATTTTTAAAAATCCAGTTTTATTTTTAGCTCCAAATTCTCTCCTTTTCCCTTTCCCTCCCCATCTCCCATTGAGGAAGCAAGAAAAACAAAACATGGATGATCAAGAAAAACAAATTCCTGCCAATCGTGTAACTGTTTGGCAGTCTGGTGAAATCTATGGACCCTAGCTCAGGATAATTTTTTAAAAAATTCATAATTGGGGGCAGCTAGGTGGCTCAGTGGATAGAGCACCAGCCCTGAATTCAGGAGGACCTGAGTTC